ATCCTATCATTTGCAACAACATGGATGGAGCTGGAGGACATTATGCTCAGTGAAATAAGCCAGGCAGAGAAAGACAAATGCCAAATGATTTCCCTCATATGTGGAGTATAACAATGAAGCAAAAACAAAACAGCGCAGACTCAGAGAATCCAAGAATGAACTAGTGGTTACCAAAGGGGAGGGGTGGGGGAGGGTGGGTGGGGATGGAGGGGGAAGAGGGTTGAGGGGTATTATGTTTAGTACACATGGTGTGGGGGATCACGGGGAGAACAGTGTAGCATAGAGAAGGGACATAGTGGATCTCTGGCATCTTGCTGCACTGATGGACAGTGACGGCATTGGGGTATGGGTGGGGACTCGATAATATGGGTAAATGTAGTCACCACATTGTTTTTTCATGTGAAACCTTCATAAGCGTGTACATCAATCATACCTTAATAAAAAATAATGATAATAATCCTTTGCTTCAGTCCTAATGTTTTATTTTTACATTCTCATTTGTTGTTTCCAAGCTCATGTGTCTTGATGAGTCATCTCACTATGATTATGTATTCAGGCATCTGGTGGTTCTGCCTGGTCCCCTCATTCTTCAGGAATACTTTAATTCCCTTGACATGATGGATGAATTTCCAGGTCTTTAGCATACACACACACCACACACACACACCCCTCACACACTTTGTTTCCTTTGGGCGGGGAGACTTCCAGGTCTTTAGCACACACACACACACACACACACACACACACACACCTCACACACTTTGTTTCCTTTGGGCGGGGAGACTTCCAGGTCTTTAGCGCGCGCGCACACACACACACACACACACACCTCACACACTTTGTTTCCTTGGGGCGGGGAAACTACCCTGCTGTCCACCAGGTGTCAGTAGAGTCAATTTTAACCGCTTGCTTCACCATCAGGGCAACTGCAGAACTTGTTTCTCCTGCTGGACCAGACGTTTCCTCATACCAACCATCTGCTTCCTCTTAAGAAACGAGCTTCTGTTCCTTAGAGGCATTCGGAGATGATAGTCCACCTGTGGAGAAAGGTAGTATCGAGGAAAACGCACTGTGATCACAGAAGGCAGTTAAGCTGATCCTTTCAGAGCTGACCCCAAAATGTTTACCGGCTGGTTTCTTCTTGACTTTTCTGTCTCTACATTATGTGGCTAGAAATTGTCTCAGGCTTCATTCTGTGTGACTACATGAAGTATAGCAGATGGTTTTAGATCCACAGGGGTCTTTTGGTTTCTTTTAAAGCCTCTGACCCCAAAAGCCCTGGGCCTAGCACGTGAGGGTGGAGTAGAAAGACCACACTCTTTCCCTGCCATGGTGAGAAAGAAGGGGAAAGAGAAGGAAGGAGGAGACGGGGGACAATGACTTGGCATGGTTAAAATGAGGCATAGAAATGAGCCCCAGAATGAGGTTGTTGAATTTGAATTAAAAGGAGTGGATGAGGGGGAAGCAAAGTCCAATCACTTTACCATGAACGAAAAAACATCAGCCACAGCAAATTCAGCTCAATATCTGTCACAGATTCTGGTTGTATTATCTCACTCCCAGAAGGAAAAACACATACAGGGTCTGCCGAAAATTTGAAATGAGAAGTGTAGCTTTGCCATTTTAGTAGTCATTGGCCCTCGGCTCCCACATGCCCTGGAGGGGAATTCCCACCCTGCCTTCTGCTCCATGACGTGCTCCGCTAGGACTCACACCTGGACCACACACAGCACAGGGCAGAGCCGCAACTATTTTTCTCCATCTTTATTAACTAACTCAGAGTCTGTGTTCCTCTTTAACCAGTTCCATCTGCAATCTAACTACTCTGGCTTTTTAATTGCTTTTCCTCTTACTGATTGTTTTTATACTGCACTGCCAAAATGGGTTAGTTTTACCAAGTGGGAAAGATGGATCACAATGTATGTGATCACAAAGATGGATCACAAGTATATGATTTGAATACACTTTGCCTCTGTTCTCTTCCACTTGAGTTCTTAATATATTACTGTCATCAGAAATTCAACCATCATGTATTCACTTCTTTGCATCTAGATTTACTTCAAATGCAAAGACCTCAGGGAAGGACAGCTAGGGCTGCATTTAGGATGCTATAGAATTGGGGACAAATTCATGTGTATGCCCAATTTAAATTAACATGAGAGGTAACCTTCAAAGGGAAAAAATTCACAAAAGATGAAATTAAGTCTGGGAAGAAGAGAATGGCAGATGGGAGAGAGGAGAAATTCCACCTCCGCTCTATCTTGGTGAGGTTAGGATCTAGGAGGTGGGCTTCTATGCTGTTATGAGTCTTTAAAGAACCTCAGGGCACCTCAAAGTGAAGGCCAGATAGTAGCTCCAATTTCCCAGTCCTTATGGATGACTGAGGCTGGCCAGGAGGTGAGTAGAGCATAATAAGAGTGAGTGCAATAATGAAGAAATCTTCCAGTGCCTTATGTGAGTGTCTTACTTGTCAATTTGCAAAGCATTTTCTTCATAACCTTGGTCCTCATCTTAACCCTGGAGAGTGAGAATTGTGATTTCATTTTACAAGTAAGATTCAGGGAGTTAAGGGACCTGTTCAAGATGGACAGACTACTGAGTTGAGACCCACAGCCATCTGTAATGATTGAACTTGTCTTTAAAAATGTTTCCCAAACGTCAAAGTGTTGATGTAAATGAACCCTCGCCTATGAGGGGAAGAGGATACAAAGGGAAACTCCAGTAGGGAGAAGAGTGCTCCTCAACGTGGGGCAAGAGCCCCCTCGTAGGGAACCACGGCCTCATTGCCTGCCTTACAAGGGGTGCAGCCCGCTCTGGAGGCACAGCCCTTTGCCTGCAGCCAGCTGTTTCCAGGTGCTGCAGACAGAGCAGGGGCAAGGCTCTATGGGGACAGTGGGACAAGGGGCTCTGGCCCTATCCCACGAACTCCAGCAATGCCCAGTGCCCCACAGTACCAATAATGTAGTAAAAACAATTGCCTGCTGTGTAAACACAACTTCAAGACACATCCCCAAGCTATCCCAATTCATATTGCCACAACTTCAAAAATTCCTTTATTTAGGAAGTGTCGAGTGTCCACACGGGCTCAATGGCAAGTGAGAGGGTAGGTGTGCCCTCCTCTAAGAACTCCCTTGTGTGCATGGACCCAGCTTAGAGTCCATAATAACCAAGCAGCCGAGCATCTGACCTTTTAAACTGAACCAGAAGATGTGCCTGTGGAGGTTCCCCCCACCCCACACCCCCTGTGGCTCATCCATGGCTTCCCTGGGCTGGCCTGGAGCACTCGCTGGTGTTACCAGGTAAACCCTGTGTGTCTCACTATTCTGGTGCGTCAGGCCCATGACTCTCTGAGAGCTTTCCTCCAGAGAGAGCCATGGAGAAGCAGACCAGACAGGACAGCCTTGAAAAGGCCGCAAACACCCTTCCCGGAAAAGGCTGGTGCAGAGACGTGCCAGGAACACAGTGTCCCATTTTAATTATGCACAGATTGTGTAAGCAGTGGCTCACTAGGTCCATATGGAAAGATTTTCCAAGGTGTAATTTTTACAGTTGTCCCTTTAATGTTGTAGTTTCTATAGGAGAGAAAGGGGACAAAGGGTATGCCATCTGGGCCAGAGCATTGGAGTTTTACAAGATGAAATTAAGGGTGTTCTCCCTGGTGCTAGTCTAGCTTTGTGACCTGGAACACTAAAGACAAGAATATAGCAATGACCCCGTGCAAACAGCTGCCACCAGAGGGATGAGCTTCCTGAGGAGTCCTGCTCCACACCGGGGCAAAGCGGAGTCACTTTGTCAGATAGTCACTCCCTTAAAGACCTTCCATAGCTCCCCATTTCCCACAGGATAAAGTCCAAACTCCATAGCAAACTTTTCAAGACCTTTCACCATCTGGGCCCACACTGCATCTGTAGCTTCCTTCTTGGCCACTTCCTTTCCCCTCCCCACCCCAAATCCCATACCCTGGGCTGACATGCTGTACCTTTTGCTTTTTGGTTGTCTACAAGCCACACTTTTCATCTCCCACCTGCAAAATATCCTGGCTCATTTTTCAAAGTCAAACTCAAATGTCATCACTGGGTCCCTTCATATCGGTAGAAGTAGTCACACTCTCCTCATTGCCTCCAAACATGTTTTTCTCTCTCTTGTTCAGCTTGTCTGCCCCCCAGAGACAGGTTGGTTCCTCACTTAAAGCCCCCAGGGGCAGGCACCATGAATAATTCATCTCAAATGATCCAGAGCTTGGGCTGGTGTCTGCTGACTCGAATGGGGCGGCCCAGACCAAGGCCATGGCCTCTAGCCTTGCTCCTCACACACCCATCTTTCTTCCACCCACAAAGGAATCTACTACATAGGTCCTGTTCTCTTTGCCCCCCACCAAAAATAGCTCTGGTGTCTCCTCTTCATTCTATTCAGTAGATTATATTTACATCAATTTATGTCTTTCCAATGAGCGTTTGCATTTTAGCAATGATCAAAGCTTGCAGGCAAAGCATAATGTACCCTCCATGGATGGGCTGTGTGTGTGGTAGCTGCAAATCTCCAAAAATATACTCTGAATCATTGCCTGTCGGTCAAGGACAGGGACCTGTGATTTTCACAGTCCTTGAGTAGACCACACACACACACACATGCGCACACACACGCACACCAAATACCTGAGATCTTCTGAGCTATAGGAATGAAGCTTTAGTGGAGGATTTTAAGGCGGAACGCAGAGGCCTCTGGCATGTCCCTGGAACCACGTCACACATGGCATCTGCTTTGTTGCAGAAAAAAGACACCAGTCTTCTCAAGACAGACTTAATCTGTCCTGAGCACAAAAAGCACCCAAGGTAGGGGGAGAGTGTTCCCTTTGTATTTGCTGCTGCCTAGAGATGAGCATCTTCTTCCACCTAAGGTGGAGCCGAGAAAGCCCCCGTCCCCTCAGCTGTCCCCCGCAGCATCCTCCACTTAGCCTCTGTCCACTGACACACTTAAACTCTCTTGCATTTGACAGCTTCTCAGGTAGTTGGAAGTCCTCTGTCTAACCGGCATCTAGCTCCTCCCTTTCTAGATCTCCCTCAACATTTTCTTAAGATATGGTTTCATCATCCTGGACATTCTACATGAGACCCTCTCTTAAAATGAGGCAGCCCACACATGATCTGGCTGTAGTCCTCTAAGCCACATTTTTGTCCATGTAGTGCAAGATGCCCTTGGTGTTATTAGCACCCACAGCTCAGTGGGTGGTGTGAAGCTCCATGTCTTCCAAAGTCCCTGGACTGATTTCCTAAGTGTTGACAATAATTCCATTTGCTTTTCAGTTTCAGAATATTCAATCACAACTTTTCATATCATTTGTATTTTTTAAATATTTTTAAATACAAGTGCATTTGATGTGTTTGGGAGGTGAATGCCTCCTTTTCCATTTCTCCATGGGGAACAAGTTTCACCTAAGGGACATGGCACAGGACTGAGAAGGGTGGAGTGGGCAGAAGAGCTTCGGTCCTGAGTGGCTCTCAGCCCTGCCCCTTTGGCACGTGGCATGCGTGGCTTGTATTTGTAGCTGCTCTTTGCCAGTGGGCTCTGTCTTCCCAGCCAGCTTGTAAAATGGGGTGTAAATTCCTTGAGGGCCTCGAGCCTATTTGCATCCCTGGTGTTTATCCCAGTATTAAATGCTCAGATCACATTCAGCACTGTGTCTACTTCCTAAGTGTCACTTGGGTCCCTCGCCCTCTTACCACATCTAGTGCTACCACCCAGACTGTAGCCACCTTCATCCCCACCAGACCTGCCGCCTACCCCCAGCTGGTGTGCTTGCACTCAGTAGCCACTGTGAAGCTTTAAGAACTCAAACTGGATCTCACAGCTCCCTGCTTAAAACCTGCGTGGTCTAAAGGAATAACCCAGCTTCGCACTCCAGGGCTCATCTCCTTCACAGTAGTCCCTTAGGAGTGTAAGGATGACAATAAGGAGTGTATCATGACCTGGGGAGATGCCTATTGAAGAGAAGGCCTTCGGATCCAGAGGCACCTCCCTGGAGCAGCCTTTCCAGGTGGCCTCAGGAGGAATGACTCACCTTTCTCTGTGCATGAAAAGAACATGCACATTTGCATGTTTTCTTAGTGTGAGTCCCTCCCTGTTAGATTAGAAGCCCCTGTGGACAGGCCAGAGTGCTGTCTTTGGGTAAAGCCTGGGTAAAGTCTTATAAACTTGGATACAGAAGACCCGCACTAAAGTCTTCTGAGCTGACCCACCAAATCCAGGAACGCTCAGGTCACAGGAATATTCTCCACTCCAGCAGCCCCACCCAGGAGCTCCAGCCCGCTCTGTGACTGTTTCCTTTCCTGTTTTCACACCTGTTTGTAAAAACACTCAGCTTCCTTTCATTTTAAACCCTTTGGACTTTGTTTTCTCCTGTCCCTGTGACCGGCAGGTTAGTAGGAGAGGCCTGCTCTGCTCTGATGGCTTGGCACAGAGCCCTCACTGTTCCCAAGGTGCCTCGCAGGACGAGTGGAACCGATGGCCCTGGACACCTGCCAGCTCAGGAGGCTTGTTAGACTCTCCTGGAGTCAGATTTTAAAACTCTGGAGCACTAAGCAGTAGCACTAAATAATACTAAATACTAAAATACCATGGTCATAATAAAGTGGTACACTGTTAAGGCTATAGTAATGGCCCTCATATAGCAATATGAAAGTACTATGGTGATAGCAATACTAATACATATTGATGCTATAGTAACAAATTGTATAGAATAGTAAATCTAAAATAGTATAGGACTGTGCACCATATAGTGCTATAGAGTGGAAGGAAAACAGTATGAAACAGGACAATTAGTACCATATTTTGCAGTAATAACATTTTTAAAGCCTTAATAAGATTTTTTTTTTCCTATCCCTGGATACTCTCTGCTTCACACAATACTGTTCTGCAGTTTATATGCCTATTCGACTGACATTTGGAAAAAGCAGATATTTTTAATTGAAGGCATAACAACAAGATAAGTAGGATTTTGTAGCTTCACCTTCAAGGTGATAAAAAGGACACAAAACTGTTCTGAAGCATTTATATTAATGTATTTTAATATCGGTGTTGTCAGGACTCTTGTGGCAAGTGGCAGAAATGGGGACTGTTTGGCTCAGGAGGGGCAGGAGGGCTCAGAGGGAACTGAAGGCAGGGATTTCAGGCCACTGCACCTCTTCCTCCTGGGGTGATTTGTGGCTATCAGATCGACCCCCCGCTCACTTTCACTTGGGTTTTTTCCCTGTGGGTGAGAGGGACGTGCCTCAAACATGTCTTAACTTCTGGAAAATCCTGCCACCAGGAGGGACTAATAACCTACCCACTTCCTCTTCCTCCCTCCTTCCCCTCCTCTCTCTCTCTCTCTCTCTTTCTCTCTCCAGACATCCCGGAAACTCATCACATCAGCCTGCCTCAGGTCTTGAACCCGTCTGACCGAAGGTGGAGCCCTGGGGGTGGCCCGCCTTGAGCCGAGTTCCTCACTGTCTCTCTCTCCCCAGAGCCCTCAGGGGCAATGTCACGTGGAAACAAGGCAGCTTCCGTGGGCCGGGAGGGGCAGGTGAATGGTGGCTCAGTATCTAAGAAGGGTAACAGAACCTAGGTATTCGATACCACAGGTGTGATCTGAGTTCCCACCTCTGGGCTTCTCCGAACCTGGTCTCGCTCAGTCAAAACCCAGCTCGGCAGGTGAGCGAGGATGAAGCAGAGGGCGTGTAGCCGGATACTTGAAACGTTCATCAGTAGCAAGGAGGCACCTTCCTAGTAGTCACTGTTCTAGGTAGCGCTGCCTTGCCATGTCAGCTGTCATTAATTTTACTTCATTCAGTTACTCAGCATATATTTCTTGAGTCCCTACTATATATCTGATACTGCTCAATGTGGAAGATATAAAAATGATATAGTCTCTGCCTCAAACAGATTATAGTCATGTGGGAAAGGCAGCCGTATAAACATGTAATTTACACAGCCGTGAGAAGGACTACGCATATATATACATATACATATATATGTGTGTGTGTCCGTGCTGTAAACACAGTGCGCACATCTCCTCTTCCACGCACGTCCTCTTCTCAAACCAGTAACTCCAGGTCAAGACGCTCCCTCCTCGCCTAATGGTCACATCCACGGTATGTTCTGGCCGCATCCAGCGCTTTCATTCACATCATCTTTAAACCTCAGAAACACAAGCTCGTGAACTAAGTAGAGCCAGTACTATTTCCCCCATTTTACACGTGAAGAAATGGAGACTGCAGTACTTTGAAACGACTTGCCATGACCCCACAGCTAGTACGGGACCGCATGGACCCTCGAACCTATTCCCTGGTCACCAGTGTCCGTCCCAAGCCACCGTGCTTCTACTACCTGCCACGGCAGGAATCGGCCCCTTCCACAGAAAGGTCCTGCTCCATCCCCAGCGCCGTGCAGAAGGACTCTGACCCAGCCTTCCATGTTCTTGCCTCCGACAGGGCCCCTCGGCCACGGACGCCCACCGTGCGCAGTCCCCAGTCTGAGGCCAAAGCTGAGTGATGCTCTTGGGTCTCATGAACATAGTGGTGAGGGGGGCAGTCAGCGCTGACAGAGAGGTCAAAGGAGAAGATGTGAACATGGATCCTATTCCATGTGTGTTTAAGACCTTAAAGTGCGATTCAGCCACCTGGGGGTCGTGTCCAAATGTGATCTGATTGAATAGGTTTGAGGTGGAACCCAAATCTTCTATGTCTAACCAGCTCTGAGGAGAGGCTGAAACTGCTGGTCCACAGACCACACTTAGAGAGATAAGGGTCTAGATTGAAAATGCTGATACATCATAGCTACTGTCAGAAAAAACAGCAAGTCAGTGTGCTGGTAGCTTTCTTAAAAACTTAAGGTGGGAAAATAAACATGTGCGCCTGAATAAAATATAATTTTAAAGATGTACTTACAGAAGAGATTAAAATTTTTAAAGTCTTGTAAACTTAACCTGCATCACCTAGCCCACCTATGCTTTAATTTCCCCAGTTCTGAATTGAGTGTAAAAACTCACCTCAAACTCATTAATGCATGTGGTGTAGTTTGGAACAAAAGCATTACGGAAAATACAGGTTATAATCTGTGGAATTTTTTTCTTGTCTTTTTCTCTGTAGGAGATGTCAGTGAAAAAAAAGGTCCAGAATGATTATGACTAATCTATGACTCCCAACAGTATGACAGGTACCTATTTTTTTTTTTAATTTTCTTTGTGTGTCTACATTTTTGTTCCACCTAAAGAGGAATATAGGGTTCCCAGCCTGAGAGTCTTAGACACAGTTGTTTCCAAACTAACAGGTGTTATCAAATGCAAATATATACTGTGAATATATCTCTGCAAATGGGCTTCTGTCTTCTTCAGCAACAGTGAGAGAGCATCATCACTGGAAATACGACAGGGAGGACACAAGAACTCACAGTGGGAAGGCTGGTTTTTAGCCATGCTAACATAAACCTTGCACACTAAATGCATGCACTCTTTACATTCATTCAGATCACTCCAATAAATGGCTCTACACACTTAGTGGCCAGAGTTCAGGCATCTTCCCCAAAGCAGGCTGTTTATCCCATTCAGCTGTAGAGTCAGATGGAATGTGATTTAGTCAGTACAGTAGAGTGAGCTAGAAACTCTTACCAAGGGACAAAGGAGAGGCAGGATGACCCCCGGATGACCCCCGAGGAACACAGGGTCAAGACAACATGAATTCTCTGTGCAACACACTGAGTAGGGATTGCAAGCTCAAAACTCCCAGGGGCCAGGTGGATGAGACCAATGTCTGAAACAGGTTGGGTGTAAGGAAAAATAACAGAGAAAACTGGGGGGAGGGGGGGAAGACTCAGGTGATCTCTGAAGAGAAGGCACTCCTCCCCTCCTGTTAACCACTGACAAGGTGAACACAGAAGCCCAGTGTGTCCAGAGACTTTGGATTTTCAAAAGAAGCTGGAAATCCAGGTTTGAAATGAAATATCCCCATTTGTAAATGTTAGCAATTCACTTATAAAAGATATCAAAGACTTGTGGGCCAGTCAAAATAGATCTGCTGACTAGAATCAACCCATGGGCTGTCAGTTTACAACCTCTGCTGTCCACCTTGCAGTCTGGTGCCAGACCCATGACTGGCCTTTTGGTTACCATGGCACCAAAACATGTCATGGGCATAGCTTGACCTCTGACAGTCCATTTACATCACCTCCCCACACAGTGAAAACCAAATGTGCAGGAAGATTACTCCAAAATCCGTGCCCAAGTAGACCCAAAGTAACTCAAAGTTGCCACTCAGGCTTCCGGAAGTTTGAAAGTCTCCCGATGACCATACCATTGCATGGCCCAGCCTCTCTTCACACCTATACCTGAGCCCTGGTGTAGCAAAAAGGTAAAGTGTCTGTGCAAAGCCAAAATAAGTCAAACCTGTAAGAAGCAAGGCCTTAGAGGTACATCTCATATTTTCCTCTTTCTTCTCTCATTAACAGGCATCAAAATGTACTCACTCCCATTTCTATTCCATTGCCAACTCAGCCCCAGTTTCTCCCCACTTAAATCTCACTCCTTCTGTGTCATAAACCTGCTTATTCAGTGGAACACTAGCATCTATCAACCTCAGCTATAGCCTCCACGTTTATGCTGCTATGAGCAGGAACCTCAGCGTGAAATGACATGTCTTTGCAGGCTTATGTCTCATAAACACATAGCTGTCCGACAGCATAGGGAAAATGTCCCCCTCTGATAAAGGATAGCATGGGACCAAGTGCCACACAAGGGTGGCTCTATACTCCCCGATAATTTTCCCATTTGGAAAAGCATTCAAAGCTACAGTGTCAAAGAACATACCCTCCTGAAACATGTATGAAAATGGCAAAATTTGGTGTGAAAGTGGGTAATTCAATGGTTTCTGCTTGCTCTGAGGCTGGTTCTAGGTAGCCTACAGCCGTGACCACCCATCCCAGGTTCTGATAGAGCAGGGATCAGCAATTTTTTTGTGAAAGGGCAAAATACTAAATATCTCTGCAAACTACTCAATTCTGCCATTGTAGCATGAAAAGCCATGGACTACACATAATAAATGGACTTGGACATGTTTCAATAAACCTTTATTAATAAAACAGGCAGCTGGCCCACTTTGGCCCAACCACTGTGGTTTGCTGACCCCTGGTGTCCAGTCAAGGTAGTCCAGACCATCTCATTCTTGATCACAACTGCCATGGCCAAGTCAGCTCACCTCCAGCACCGAGCTAGGAATCTAGGCTCACTCCAGGACAGTTCTAGACTGTGCCAGTTTCTCAGCCCATCTCATGGAAGTCAGGATGCTTTCCCTGCAGGCTGAGCAGGAACCCCAGGTCCCCCCCAGAGAAGGAGGGAGTGTTTGTTTACCAGAATTTGCTTCATGGTGTAGAAACTAACAGTAGTTCTATTTTCAAAAGAAATCTACTCCATATACACATATGCTCAGTGTATGTTAATGGACTCAGCTGAGAAAATCATTACTTTACACTCCCCTGTTTGTGGAGGAAATAAAACAGTTTTGCTCTCCCTTTGCCATGAATTTAGACTCATTGTTTATTTTAAGAAACCTCCAGGGGAACTATAATAAGATTGTAAGCCATCAGAACTAAGTGCTTACTTAGGAGTGTAATTCAAAGTTCAAATATACGTATTTTTTTCTTTGAAAAACATAGGTAATATTACTGTTATGCAATATAGAAATTAGTTAACCTTTATGAAAAGATAGTGATTTTTTTTTAATGAACTGGTGTAAGAACATTGAGTCTATTTTCCTAAAACCAAGCAAACCACCATTTTCAGATAAAAGAGCCACATGGTTGGTATGCAGGCTCTTTCAGCCGCCATGCTTATTAAATTTATGTATTTTACATTAACTCAAATAGAAATTGTTTATTTTATGAGGTTACTCAATGTCCACTGAAATGGAGTCAGATCTTGCCAAAATTTTCTTGTTGCTTTACTCCACCTAATTTGAAATTAAGGCTGTATGAAATCAGTAATTGAAAAATAGTGAGTCTTGAAAAAAGTAAGAAAGTGCCTTAACACAATAATTTATTAGTCTGGAATTAAGCACTGCTTCCTAGGTAATCTAAGGGGAATTCTACTAACATTTATGGCATTATAATGAGCTCTGTTTTGCATAAAATCATGATTCACAGCATAGGGGAGTTTGGTCTAAAATGTGAATATCTAAAATTTTAAATACCAAAGTTAGAGCTTGTTGCCTTGGTTGAAAAGGAAACAAAAGAACTCAGATTCGGAATGTGCCTAGAGAGGCACAGAAGCAAGGGTCTGTTATGTTTGCACCTAACCTGGCTTTGTGAAATTAGGGTATGACATAAAGTTAGCAAAGTAATGTTCTCATGGAAACTGGGCCCATTCCAAGCCATTTAAAGTCACAGTATGTGACTCCTCCTGTGTGAATAAAACATACCTCATTCATTTATTTAACTGTGCCTCTTCTCTGTGCCTGCTTGCTCACTGACCTGCCCTGTGGTGGTGTTTGCCTTCCTCTTTCTCAGGCATTATTAGTGAGTGTATCCCATGTGCAGGGGACGAATGTTTTCAAGAATATGACAGGAGCTTTCCATTGTTGCCCTAGGGTTTTCACTCTGTGATCTTCAGATTGCTTGCTTGTTTGGGGATTGGAGTAATTTGTGGAGAAAAACGAAGAATTACATAGGTTTCTTAAAATAATTACATAGGTTTCTTAAAACATTTCTCATTACTCCTGAGGTTGAGATTTTTTACATGCTTATTGCCCACTTATATGTCTTCATCTGTAAGTTGCTTGTACATATTTATTGTCCAGTTGCTCATTGTGGATTTCATATTTTTCTCCTTATTTGTAGATGCAATTTATTATATATTAAGGATAGTAATTAAGCAAATCACCTAATCCCATTAGACCTTGAATTCCTTATCAATTAAATGAGGAAATGAGACTAATTCACCTCTAGTTCTCCTTCCACTTGTAAGAGAGATTATATTTCAAATTTGAACACTTATAAATCACATTTGCATAAAGCAGGGCATGTGTACATTGCTGATAAGGGGTAAAGAAAAAGGGAACCCTGAAGCAACATATTTTGTGTTTTGAGACTACCCTAATGAACAGGTTTTTCAGGATCAAATAAATTTTTAAGTTGGAAAAAACCAGTATTTTATTGTAAAATCCATGTCATTTTTCAGAGGTGGCTCTCCTTGCATCCTTTAGACTTGTCAGCTTCATTCCTTCAGAAAGAGACTCACTGTTATGCTTATGTCCTACCTAAGTAGAATGTCTTCTCGTGGGATCAGAAGGTTGTTGACAGCAAAATAATGGCACCATTCGAAGATAGCTAATGTTAACAGTGTACATATTTTTACCGTTTCCATTGTCAATATATACTCCTTTTAAATAGGATTTTGTTCATGGCTATTTAGTAATCTAGCATATAGTGATACAATCTTGCTGAATTTATACTATAATGTGATTAAATTTAAAATTATATTTAATATAATTTCAAGTAAAGTTTCACAATGTTTTATACATTGCACATAATTTGCACCTCTGATTATTTCCTCTGGATAAAATTCTACTTTATTAAAGGCAATGCCAGCTCAAAGGGTCTGAACATCTTCTGACGTTGTCTTGTCAATGGGTTTCAGCCCAAGGCAAGTTCACTATGGATTCAGTGAGACCAAGGAACGACAGTGAAACACATTCCTGGGGTGAAAGGGTTTATACCCAACTTTATTCCCACGGTGGCAGGTCAGTCCCTAGAATCCCATCCACTCAGAGCAAGTCTACATTCAGCAAACCGGTCTCTGCCTCTGGGCCTCTCTGTCCCCACAACCGTCTCAGTCTCTGTCCTTGGCTCTGCCACCACTCCAGCTTCTGCTCTCCTACAGCCATGCACCCCTGCAGCTGTGTAGCTGTGTCACCCAGAGCACTGGCTGGAGCTCTTCATTTAGAGTCAATAACAATGTATCACCCACACGCGTGCAGTGAGCAGGCCAACCAGGTTCAGGAGAGAATCCTGGCCATAGGAACTTTCATTTTCTCTGCAGATGCCTTTTCCATTGCCAAGTTGTGACCGGATTATTGGACCCACTGAGACACTCCTCAGCAGTGTGATGCCCACTTAATCATGTTCCCTCCAACTTTAGAGTTTTTGGCAGTTTGTTTATTTGAGGAGACTATTTATTAGGCAAAATTTTATCACAGCTTTTCAAAACTTTACATTTTTCTTACTGATAATGAGCTTGACTAAACATACACACACACACACACGCGCGCACACACACACACACACACACACTGGCCATTTAAAGGCTTTCTTTTGTGACTTACCTGTTCATTTAACTTTTCTTTTTTTTTAGTTATTTCTCTATTAAGGAATTAATTCATTGTCTATCATTAATGCTACAAAGATTTCCTCCATTTTAATATATGTCTCTTCTTTTTGTTTATTCAAAAAGGTCAAATATTCTTTTAAAATAATTCCATGCTAACTGACAAGCTGCAGGATGGATGGGTTCAAAGAACCCCAGCCACCCTTTACCCAGAGTCCTCCTATGCTAACACTTGGTGGCATTTGCTGCATTCTTTCCCTGCTGTGTTTCTTTCTCACCTGTGTAATTTTTATCCTGAACCTTTTACAAATAAGTTGTAAATATGATGGTATGGGATTTTTTGACATACAAGAGTTTTTAGCATATCTATAGTGAGCTCTATAGAGGTGTCGCTTTATGATTCAGAATTTTCTTCTCAAGCTTAGAAATGTCTTCTGGGGAGTACCGGGGACGGAGTTCACTGGTTTCTTTGAGATAAGTTAGCATGTCTATTTCAACTTGTAGCTCTTCTTAATTAGACACAGGGATGCCTGGGGAAAGTCAAAGATCTTCTTAACAAACACTCCTATTTACCCTTTACACTCCAGCCATCCACCCAAGGCTCCCTAGCCCTGGCCTTTGAGGGCAGGGAGGAGTAAGGCTCACAGCTCTGGAGCACCTCTGTCCCTTCTCCCAAAGCCAGGACAGCCAGCGACCCGGCTCCTGTACCTGTTGGCCCTGCACAGAACATACCCATGGATGCCAGGCTGGTGCTCTGCTGCCTTTCCCACGTTACCCCAGGGGCTGCGAGGCTTTGTGTTGGTTTCATATGCACTGGCATGATCATCTGAGAGGGCATCTGGAGGCTTCCTTCACTTTCCCCTGGATTCCTGTTTCCCCAGTTGTAGCCAGAAATAAAATGTGGCCTTGGACTCCACTAAGCCATCTACGCGCATTACAAATGTTTCCACAAATAGTTTTGGAGAACAAAACATACCAGCTTGCCCAGATAGCTTGCTCTGCTGGTGGTGGAGCCAATCACAAAAGAGGAACTTTGATTTGACTCCCTGGGCGTTTAAACACAAAAAGCAATTGGGGGGCTTTTTGCACCCTCCCTAGCGTGATGCCACTTCTAAAAGAAACAAAAGGCTCACTGCAAGTTGGCTAGAAAGGAAACATCAGTCTTCCCCGAGATGCCCTGCGGCAGAGGGGAGGCTGCTAAACATCCATCACACAGAAAACCTTTAAATTCCTCCTCACCTCTCTGGGGATCACTCTGCACTGGGATGCTGAAACTCCAGGCCCCTCTCCCTGTCTCCCCAGAGGGAGCCCCACTCATCCCCGGGAGGCCGCTGCTGTACGGATTTCTCCCCCAGCTCCAGGCAGATTCCCCGCCCTGCTCCCACCCCCTCGGCCCCCCGCTCCGCTCCTCCTGCTCGGTCCCTAGAAAATGAGGGGCCCGCCTCCCCACCCCACCCCTCCCACCTGCTTCCCCTTTGAAGACCCCACCCAGCCAAGTAAACAGATCTTCCTTTTGAAGAAACTCCCCTGAGAGAGCGAGGAAAGTGAAAACCATAAATGCTGGTCATTTTACCTTCTTTCCCTGTCGCACCCAACTCGGTAGAAGAGAGGGAAAGTCACTCCGTGGTGTCCAGTCTGGGAAGGAGAGGAGCCCAGGCCCTCAGTTCAAGATTTTTCTCTGGTTTCTGCCACAACAAAGGAGAATCAAGAAAACCACACACAAAAAAAGAAAATTTCTGTGCAGCTAACACATTCCTTTTATGACACAAGACCAAATACTTCTTTTTCCTCAGAAAACAGAACGAACAGTGATCTTTTAAACAGTGTGAGTGGGTAAAGGGGTAAAGGATGCAGATTTACCATATATCCACCCACAGAAAAAGTGGCCTCCTGTGCTGGCTGCCTGTCACCACCCTTCCTTGCCTCTAACTGCCTGAGCTCCTCCTGGAAGAGAAACTTCCTCCTGGAACGAGGAAGACTGTCTCAAACAGACTGCATTAATGAAATCTCACCAAATACAGCCAGATTAGTGAGAATCTTCCCTCCAAACTCCTGGGGCCTCTAAGACAATTGCTCCTAGAACAACTTCATTTTCCAAATCTGAGCTCCAGCTGAAATGTTGAAAAAACAAAGCTTTATAGAGAAGGAACAATGGGAGCACAAAAGGGAAGAAAAAGATGTATTTCTTTACCACAACCCTGTATTCTTCCCCAAAGCCACACTTCACAGGAGACCCCTACCCTGACCTCCTGCCCCCCACCCGGCCTCCATTGTCACCACTCTGACCGCCATCGTAATCATCACATCTACTGTCACTGAACACCACTCTCACCCTGTCACCACGTGAGGCTCATCCCCACCCCATTCACAACCTGCAGCAACCAAGAGCTGCCCAGCACATCTCTGCTCGACTTGGCCAAGAGACCCAAGTAACCGTGACTGAACAGGGTCCTGTTACTTCAGGATGAGCTTCCTCTCTGTTCTCCAAGAGGCCCCTGAGGTCCACAGCGGTTGAATCTGTACGCACAAGGCCCTTCAAAGGAACTGAAAATAATTTTTCCCAAAATGTAGTCCCTGGCCCTTGTGTGGGGTTGTTTTGTTTGTGATGAGCCAGGAGTTATTTTTCTGTGTCTCCACCACCCGGCCCTGTCCCCAGCTGAAAAGTCTCAGCCTTGTGTTTTATCCCTCTTGGTTTTTCTTCAAGTCTTGGCCACCATGACAACCTTCTCAAACCGGAGAATTTGACTGTGCTGTGGGGGGGGATCTAGTGTGTCCACCTCCCCGAGCCTGGACAGGGCAGATGCACTCCTGTCCACGTGCTGCGCTGAGCTGAGAACCATTTTCGCCAGTCCTCACATGCTACACATTAGCAGGCAAAAGCCAGGGGGGCACAATGACCTGCCCAAGGTCACCACGGTGGACCATTGAGTGTTCAGACCATCAGTTCTCAACGCCTGGGGCGCTGTGGGTTAAATGATGCTAAGCAGTGATCTTACCTCTTTTCCTTTTGTTCCTAACTGAAGTTCTTACTCTTTATAACGCTAACATATATCCTGACTCACCAAGGAAGGCGGGTTAAGCAGTCTTCGCTCAAGTCACTAAACCAAAACTCCTTTGGTACAGGACCTTGCCTTTTCCCGCTCAAATGTGCCTGAGCATTAGAATCAGCCTGGGAGCTTTTTAAAATCCTGATGCCACGCCACGCCAGACCAGTTAAATCCAAACCTCCAATTGCAGACCCAGACTCGACTCTTTTAAAACTGTCCAGGTGATTCTAACACACAGTCCAGTCTGAGAACCATGATCAGAACACTGGTTCTCAGCCCAGGCTGCCTGTGGAGTCACCTGGGCAGCTATTCACCACCACCATTCTGTGCCCCACCCCAGGGTTTCCCGATGACCTGGTCTAGGGAGAAGCGCCGGATGTCTTTGTGTTTTTAACTCAAGTGATTCTGATGGGTATCTAGTTCTGAGAAAAGACCCCTTGTTCTCAAACTTGGGGATGGAGCATTAGAATCACTGAAAATTATGGTTTAAAAAAAATGTGAAGCAAACACGCATTTTCCCAGCTCATCTCCTGACAAGTGGCCAGGCTCCTGAGTTCCTAAGTAGCTCTCCGGGTGATTCTGTTACACACAGAAGTTTAAAAACCACTGATCTAGAGTGTTGTTCTTTCCTGTATCTTTAGGAGGCCACTCAGGGTAGCACCTTTTCCAGTTCAAATTATCATAAAGTCCTTCAGGAATGCACTCCAAGGGCAGCATTTTTCATTGAAGAAATGGAACAGTCATGAGGAAACTTGTTTCTCTGTCCTGCAAATTGTTTGTAAATGATTCTATTAGGCACTAAGCTTACAGTGCCATCCCATACTCCTATAGCGGGTAGTTCTGAGTTGTGTAGTCCTTCTGGTTATGGAAGGAGGTTTTCCCTCACGAGGTTTTATTATTGTTATTAAATGAAATGACTTCCATTTGGGGCCTCAAAAGAATGCAGTGTTCTGGTGAGCAGTACCCTCAGGGTTATGGTTCTCAGTCTGGACTGCATGCTTGACTTACTTGGGGAATTTTTTTTAATCCCAATGCTGAAAATGCAGAAAATTTCTCCCAGGATTGTGGGGAGGATGTAATATTTATATAAATCACTTAACACATGGTGTGGCGCTTTGGGATACAGCATAGAATAGCCATTGTGAGGGAGCACCTTGTATATTATAGGCACTCACTAATATTCATTGTGAGAAACAGCCCATAGAATTACTGAACTACCATGGAACTGAATGTTTATAGTCTTTTTTTGAAAGCTGGTTTGTGGGTAAATTTAAATTTTTATAGCTTTGCTTAGCTCATTCCCATAATTCATGTTTTCTCTTCAATGTCACAGCCAAGTTCAGCATCATTATAGGATTTCCTGAATTTTCTGCACAGCTTAGGCCCTTTTCTTTTCCTAAAAAGTGAAAGACAAGAAATGCCTTTGCTATTTTTTTAATTATTTTATGGAAAGATATTATTAATGAAATAATAATCTAAATATAACATTCAATGTAAACAATTTCTGAAAAAGGAAGCAGATCATTTTTAATACAGTCTCTATTCTGCAATCCTTGATAAAATAAGCATCTTAAAACATTTGCTGTATTAGTATTAATTCATTTTTGAAAGGCATAATTTCCTCTACCAGCCAAGGCAGTGGGACTGTACATGCAGTATTTTCCTGGATGTTACCCACTCCCCAAGATGTGGGATGTGGCATGATATACTTATATTAGGTGGGAAGTGATAGCAGTAAAAGGGGTGGGGTGGGGGTATCCACATGCCCTGCAGCTGTCAGCGAAAAAAGTAAAAGAAGAAAAGTACTGATTTCCCATCACTAGATTTCATTCTATTTCTACAGTGTCAAATTGTCATTCCTAATTTTCAGTCAATTTTCTGTTAAGAACCTCTTGTTATTTCCCCCCCACCTCCCTTGAATCCTGTGCTTTCAAACATTTTACCTACCAAATTGCATTTACTGTGTAATAGAATTCATTGCTTATTTTTAGTAATCAAAAACATGTATAATCTGACATTTTGATGAGCAGTATGGAATGCCCAATGATCCCACACTACACAGATATACAGTAAAATGTCTGTATATTTTTCAAAAACCAGAAGGATAAGATTTTTCATGAAAGTGGCATAGGCTGCCTCATATTATTGTTTAATTTCCCTTGGGCATTTTCAAACTTTTAAAATTGCTCAGAGTTATCCCCCAATACTACTTTTATGGAGTCATTTGAATGAGAAAATTCTGAATTTCTGTACTCCAATTTTCTCAACTCTAAGGAGGAATTATACTCCTATATTATTTAGCTAAATAGAACTATAAATGAAGTCATCAGAATACCAATTACTGCCAGCACTACCTTTAATCAAAAAAGTCTTTCAGTATTATTATAAAATCATTCTTCAAAGATTAAATCTATGTAAATGAATATAAAATAGACTCTCATACTCAGTAATGCATAATGAAAATATTCATGAGAATTTCAATCATTTGACACTGTGCTCCAAATTAGATCAAGAAATCATTGGCATAAATCAGAACATTCATAAATTCTTTGAGTTTTTTTTAACAGCAGATTCTAATTAAGTTTAACATGGGAGCATCTAAGATACTGGATTCTAGGCATACAAATGTAACTAAGAAATGGTCCTTACCTTTGAGGAGCTCACAGTTAAGAGATCACAGTCTCTGAGCACATCAATACATAAGACTTACAGAGGTTTAGAATTAGAAGGGATCTTGGAGACCATCGGGTCCAACACCCTGAAATTGCAAGTGAAGAAAACTGAGCACATGACGTTAAAGAAACGTGCTTATGCCTATGGCCCTGCATCAGTGCACCACACCGATGTTTGGATTGTCCTCACAGAGATTCTTCACACCTCTCCCTCCTTCAGTTCCCATTGACTCTGGTTGCATTTGTAAAGGATTAAGTGATATGATAGAAATCATGGTATAATGGTATAATAGAAAAGCTATTTGAATCATGAAGGGTCCATTAGTACAGCAATGCTTTGCTGTGACAAGGTGAGCCCCAAAATCTCAGTAACTTGACACAGCAGAATTTTGTATCTGACTTATGTTAAACCCAGGTCACATGTTCTTGGTTGGTGGATCCCATTCCCTGTGGCCATGTGGGGACCCAGGCTCCTTCCTCCTTCCATCTCCATTCACCTCTAGGACTTCCAAATATTCTCCACTCAACAGGAAAAGGGAGAAAATAAAATGAAAGGACACGTGGAGTTGTTTTATGGGCCAGGCCTAGAAGTAATGCCCAATGCTTTCATTGGGTACAATGACCAGAACTCACATGGCCATGTCTCACTGCAAGGAAGGCTGGGAAATGCAGCCCAGGAAGTAAGGAACACAGATTTCACTGATGAGTCTGTCACATGGGGCTGTGCAAATGAATGGTAATGTTATGGAAGTAAGTGACGTGAGGAAGGACTTGGTCTTTATACTGAAGGGGCATCTTTTTGCTTAAAAAAATGTCTGTGAATCAGCCCTCCAAACCCCCTCCAGGCAGTATCAGCAACTCTGACGAGGGCTAGGATGAACTATTTTGCCCACATTTTCTAGTGCTACTCGGTTTGTATGATATGATGAAAAGAACATAGACTTTGAAGTCATGTGCCCTTGGGTTCAAATCCCCAGTTTGCCACTTATTAACCTTGTGGATTTGATCAAGTGTCTTAAGCTCTCAGAGTCTCAATTTCCTTATTGTAAAATGGGGACAGAAAACATCCTAGAGTCTCAATGAGAGTCTACTTAAATCAATCAGCAAACATGTATTGAGAGTCTCCTGTGTGACAAGCCCCTGGTACACTCTAGGAGAACAGTGGAGGTAAAAACAAAAGAAAGGTACAGAATCTAGACGA